AGGAGCTGATACCAAGGGCTCCAGTAGAAAGCAAATGTTTTGAGAATGATGATAGCAACAAATGTACAAATGTGCTTGACACAATGGATGGATTGTGATAAGAGTTGTATGAGCTGCCAATAAAATGTTTTTTAAAAAAAGAAAAGAAAATGGTGTTTCAATAGAACTTTGTCCAAAAAGCCACAGTGGAAGGATCAACCAGAAACAAATGAAATTTACTACTGGGATTAGGGTGGGAAAGAGAAGGGAAGGGGGTATGAGTGAGCTGGAAGAGATGGGATGGGGGTGGGAGGGTGGAGTGATACTTCTCTGAGCATACCTTTCTGTAGTTTTAATTTTGGACCATATAACATAATCACCCTGAAAGGGATATTAAAAGCCAACAAACAACCTTTAAACAGTACTATGGCTATATTCTCTCAAACTAAAGGCATAAAAAACCATAAACAAATATTGTAGGTAGATTTGTTTTTACAGCAATATGGGTTTGCAATTCTGAAATTACTCTCTATATTTTAGGATTGAGCAAATAAGTAAGTATATAATAAGTATATGGGTAATGTACTATGTAAGTAAGCATACTGAAAGTCAGGTTTCTTATTGTTGGGAGAGACGTACAAACACGGAAAGAAGGAATGCTAGAATAAACCATGTGGTGTTAGATTAGAAGCAGAGGTATTGGAATAGTTTTAAAAGTTGTAATGTGTGTCATTACAGCTAAAACCAAAAAGATTATAATGAACAAGCTAGAGTTACCAATAACAGTGAATTTTACGTTTTCATTGCTTTTGCTCTACGTATGTAAATGGTTCTGTATTTTCTGTTCAGGTCTACTTTCATCTTTTCAGCTACTGAAGTGCCAATAAATTGTTCCCCAACGCAAAGCAGTTGAGAAGGGCCTGGAGTTTCTTACCCCTGCCAGCCTGGTTCGATGGGGTCACAGTTGTCTAAGTAATTGAAACGAATAATATCTGTAGGATGCTTGTCGGAGGACCGCCAAGGAGGGAGCTCTTTCTCTCCTGGGCTGCTCTTTTTCCTCAGAGAAGACGCTCTGAAAGCTGAGAAAGGAGAGTGCCTTTCCTCTGGAGAAGTTCTGGCCACCGGCCGGACATCGGCAATTACAAAGCCATCTTTTGGAGGAGTCTGGAAGAAGAAAGTTAAATTATGTATGTACAACACTAGAATAGCAACAACCGAAAAACCCAAATATCACCCTCGTCACCATCGTAAAGATGATCGTGGAGATGAACATAGCGGCCGCCACTCAATGAGTACTTGCTGTGAGTCAGGCAAGCTCAGGTCGTTTTTCATCCACGGTTTCATTGAACCTTTACAAAACCCCTAGGAGGTAATCATTACTACTCCCGCTTTACACCAGAGGGCGCTGAAGAGAGGAGCTATACATTAACTTGCCTACGACTACATAGGTACTCAGTTCACACTCACCGAGTCCACCCTGATCCTGACTCACAGCGACCCAATAGGGCAGGGTTGCACTCTGGATTTCTGAGACTGTCAATCTTTACGAGAGCAAGAAAGCCTCATCTTTTGCCCTCAGAGCAGCTGGTGGGTTCAAACTACTGACCTTCTGATCAGCCACCCAACTTGTCACTTGTAGTACGTTACAAATACTATGTGTAGGATGTTACAGGGGCAAAATTTGACTATTGAACTGGCTGTTTCAAGCCCGTGCACTGAACCCCCATCTTGTACTATTATTGTACATCTGCCATATTATTGTAGCCTATCGCAATGGCAGTTAATTTATTCATGGAAACCTACACGTCCCCCACAAAGGACTCCAGCCTTGACTGCATATAACACACCCAGACGATTCTGAGTTACCCAGGATAGGTTCTGGGGTGTGCCATCAATGGGAAACTCCTGGCCAATCTTGTAGGTAATTTTACTATAGTATCAGCGCATCATGTGTTAAATGAAGGCTCATTAACACATTGTGGTTCCCAGTCAGCCCTCTTTATTCTATGGTTCCTTGTCCAAGGATTAAGCCAATTGCAAATTGAAAATAATAAAAGGGGAGGGGGGAGCAACTAAGTGCTCAAAGAAATCCTTCAAAGGCTAAGGGTGAGTGTAAAGAGCTGTTTACATAGCATTCGTTATGTTAGGTATTATAAGCACTCTAGAGAGGATTTAAATGGGAGCCCTGGTGTCACAGTGTTAAACGTTAGGTTGCTAACAGCAAGGTCAGCAGTCGGAAACCATCAGCAGCTCCAGGAGGAGGCGGCCTTTTTCTAATCCTGGAGAATTAGTCTCAGAAACTCAGAGGGGCAATTAGTTCCACCCGTCCTATGGGCTCCTGCAGTGAGTGAGTGAGTGAGTGAGTGAGTGAGTGAGTGAGTGAGTAAGAGGATTCAAAGTACACAAGAGGATGCGAGTTGGCTAGATGCAAATATGCCATTTTATATAAGGGATCTGAGTCTTGACTCACCCAGGGCTTCAAATACAATAGTATTTGTTTTAACTAGCTGAATGAGCGTTCACAGATGGTGATGAAGTTTCGTAGAAACTGCTGAGAGCCATTTCTGCCAAACTTTAGATATGTCCTTTGGTAGATTGTACATTTTTATCTGTTATTAAAAACCCAAGTAAAAAAACAAAACAAACCCCGAAACCCCAACCATTCACAAAGAACACTTCAGCTTTTATTTCTAAAACTGAAAATCTGGGTGTGTGTGTGTGAGAAATTCACAACATTTTTAATCTGTTTGTAGCCTAAGGGAACCAACCACATTATTGCTATGACGAGAAGCCATTATGGGCTTAATTTTTGTTCTTTTAGAGATTAAAGAAGCGTGCTTAGTAAATTGGTTAATTTAGGTTGTTTGAGAAAATAAATTCCTCAGTCCTACAAATGAAATGTGTTTGACCTGCTCTTCATCTGCGTCAATAAGCCCTGGTGGCATGCGGAGTTACTGTCCCAGAAACCCTAGGGAGCAGCTCCGCTCTCCCTTCTGGGTTTGCTGTGAGTCCGGAAGGACTCAAGGCAGTGGGTCTGTTTGGGTCTGTGTTCCATACCCATTGGCACGGAGTCGATTCTGACTCACAGCACCAACACAGGTCAGAGGTGAACTGCGCCGCCAGAGCTGTGGCCTGTTCGGCAGCAGACTGTTCCACCATTCTCCCAGAGTAACTGCTGGATTTGAACCGCTGATGTTTTGGTTCGGAGCTGAGCACTTAAACACTGTGCCACCAGGGCGCCTTCTGTTAAAAACATCAAGTGGTTAATAAGGTTGAGTCCGTTCTGACTCCTCATGACCCTACGTTCAACAGAACCAACACACTTCCCACACTGGCACCATCCTCACATAATTGTGCTTAATAAATATTGACTCATTGCCTAGTAGTATATTAAGAAGATATTTTATATGTGTATAAGTGATAGCTCATTATTGGTCACTGTTATTAAATATTTCATGCAAGCTTCATTTAGAATGGACATTAATTTTTCGGAGCTTAATATTTAATTAAGTCTGTTAGTCTGTTTTTGCTGGAGGCAGTCTGGTTTAATACTACTGGGAATAAATAAAACATGGTAATAATGAAAAACAACTTCAGGGAAAAAACTTCAGACATAAATGGGAGTAATTATATATAAATGGTCATCATTAATTCTGAAAAGTAGAAACTGCATGACACTTGAATAAAACAGGCAATAATGAAACCAGTGATGAATTCACTGTAGCAAGTGAACAACATCTTTGTTGTTACTGCTACCAGAAGTATTGGAGTTTTGTTTGTAATCCTGCCTGGGTACTGAGTTTTATTAAATGCTTTTTGTGGTGGTGGTGGCATAGATTGAAATCAACATAATTCTATTCTACTTTTAATGTGATTTTTATTTCTTCCTTTTGTTTTGTTGAAATGATACATCAATTCATTCTTAGAGAGTACAATCGTTCTCACCCTCCCTCCTTTTCTGAGTTGTTCCTCCCTCGTTAATAGAAACTCTAAGCCTACTAAGGGTCTTAGTTAACCTTTTGAGTTGCTATTTCAATTTGATCCCATAGAGAGAGTCCTGAAAACAGCAGCTCTGGTGGTATAGTGGTGACACGCTGAGCTGCTACCTGCAAGGTTAGCAGTTCAAAACCTGCATCCACTCTGCAGAGAAAGCGTTTTCTACTCTCACAGTTACAGTCTTGGAAGCTCTCAAGGGTAGTTCTACCCTGCCCTGTAGGGTCACCATGGGTTGGAATTGACTCAGTGGCAGTGAGTTTGGTTTGGGGTTAATACAGCATAATGCTGAAGTTATCATATATATATATATATGATAAACATATATATATGATTAACTACTGTTTCTTTTCAGGAAGACTGCAGGGGCGATTTCTGTTTTAAGGTTTAAAGATGATCTCAGGACAATAATAGTTCTAGGAGTTCATCCAGTCTCCGTGTCTCCAGAAAGTCTGGAGTTCATGAAAATTTTATATTCTGTTCTACAGTTTCCCCTCTTTTAATGAAGATTCTTCTACAGAATCTTTTTGTTAAAAATATTCGTAACAGTAGCCAGACACCATTCAGTTCTTCTATCCTACTGGCAAAAGAGGCAGTTGCTCATGGAGGTGGTTAGTCATACATTCCAGTTTCCTCCTTTTCCCGACTCTCCACTCTCCAGCTGAATAGAGACCAGTGGTCTTGCCTTGGAATGGCTGCACGCACACTTCAAAGACCTCAGGACTGTTCACCAAAGTCGAAGGTACAACAAAAGCACCGCACGTTTTGTTTTTTTAGTCAATTAACTTGGATGTTCCGTGAAGCCATAACCCTAGACCTCTAAACCAAGGAATCAAATCCCATGAGGTTTTCGGTTGTATATAAAGAGCTACGCTCTCTTTTTGCTAAATGCATCACACTTGAATTTTAAATATTAAGTCAATTTTACTTTCCTGAAATAAATTCTACTTGGTCATCATGTACTCTTCTTCTTATATATTACTGGGCCTAGTTTGCTAATACTTTGTAGGAATTTGTATGTGTATATTCATGAGGGATGTTGGTCTTTAGTTCTTTTCTTCTTGTAATGTTTTTGTCTGACTTGGGTATAAGGGTAAGAAATTGGGAAGTATTCCCTTTCCTTCTGTTTCCTGAAGAAGTTAGGTAGAATCTGTATTGTTTCTTCTTCAGATGTGTGATACAATCCACTGATGATGCTACCTGGGTCTGGAGTTTTATGGAAAGCTTTAAAAAAAAAATCATTTTATTGGGGGCTTGTACAACTCATCAAAATTCATCCATCCATTATGCCAAGCACATTTGTACATTTGTTGGCATCATCATTCGCAAGACATTTACTTTCTGCTTGAGCCCTTGGTATCAGCTCTTCATTTTCCCCCTCCCTCCCCACCCCCCACCCCTTCATGTGCCCTTGATAATTTATAAATTATTATTATTTTGTCATATCTTACACTATCTGACGTCTCCCTATACCCACTTTTCTGTTGTCCATCTCCCAGGGAGGAGGTTATATGTAGATCCTTGTAATTGGTTCCTCCTTTTATGGAAAGCTTTAAAGTTGTGAATTCAATTTTTTAGTTGACACAGAAGTCAGTAGTACCTAACACGGAGTCAGTTTTAGTAATTTGTGTTTTTATAAGAATTTTGTCCATTTCATCTAGGCTGTTGAATTTAGTGACATAAGAATTGTTCATAACATTCTTTCATTATCCTTTTAAAGTAAGGTGACCAGACGTCCTGCTTTTGGCAGGACAATTTTTTCCGCATCCCGCAGCATTTTAAAAAAGTCCCGGTTTTTGGAAAGAATGCACGACAAGCTAGGGTATACGGTTTTCCGCTGCCATGTGGCTATTTCGCCAGGATATGAGTTTTATCAATGGTGTCCCGCTTTTGTCCCGCTTTACCAATGTTAAAATTTGGTCACCTTATTTTAATGTCAATAGTCCTATAATGATGTCCCTGATAATATCCTTTTGTTCTTGCATTTCCCCCTTTTGAACAATTTACCTTATATACTCATGTATAAGCCGAGTTTTCCAGCACATTTTTAATGCAGCTTTTGTGGTAAAATTAGGTGCCTCAGCTTATATTCAAGTATATATGGTAATTGAAAACCCATAAAAAACAATAGAGAAATCAAGAACACCAAAGTTGGGTCTTTGAACACATACACAAAAGTCTTAGGTTTCTAGCTAGGCTGATCAAGAAAACAAGTGGAGGAGCTGAGCACCAATGACACATATGAAGACCAATGTTCCAAATTCTCTATTTTCCTCCTATTCTTGACTCTCTTCCATTGCCCCAGCTCTGATCTACAGTCATTCTTCCTTCTACTACCCTTTGGCTTAATTTACTCTTCTTTTCTGAACCTGAAGTTTTTTTGAAATTGCTTTCTGGAAGAGTAGGATACTCAAACAGATAGTAATGAAGAACAGCCTCATCTAGCACTGTCATTTTAAGGTTGGAGAAACTACTGTTTCCACGTGCTTGGAACATAATTTCAAAAGCTCTTTGTACCAGGTACAAAGTATTGGGGGGAAAGGGTGGTAATGGTGCTTGAGGGAACGTAAATTAAGCTTTCCTATCTTGGAGCAACTTCACAGGGAATTAAACAAATTTCACAAGGATTATAGTGCTGACAATTGATTTTCTTAATCTTAGATGACTCTATTAACACCAGCCTTTCTGATTTAGGCCTATA